TGGATTACCAATCAGCAATAGACGGCGAGAAATGAAAACTTGTCTCATTCGCGGAATAAAAATTTTTCAAAGGGTGTCAGCAATCATTCGAAAGCTTAGATTTCTTGCTAGAGCTGCACAACCGTTTTTTTCAAAAGCCCTTTTATAACGCTGTATAACCCAAAATAAAGTTTTGTTTCTCACCTGCCGTTCGCGTTCATTTTATCACGCATACAATTCACTGAAAGCACGAAAAGCATATTAACGTTTAGGAGAACTTCCGTAGTATTTGACTAAATTGTTTTACTGAAGTTTTTCCAAAGCCGAGAAAGAATCCCCAATTGAACATTAGGTCGCATCCCACTGTCTAACGGTCAAGCCATCGGTCGATTGTAACCGACCTCATGGACAAGCCGATAAATAATTTTTTCGAAAATGTGAGGCTCAATCTTATTCTCCCTGCTAAATAAAACTTCCAGACAATAACCACGTCACCGGAATCATTGAAGCTTACGCTATCAAATGATTATCAATAGTCTGAAGAAAGAGCTCTGTACAGAGATGTGTAGAGCATACATCTTCTAGGTACTGTTCTATTATGGCGACGCCACTGGAGGCCTACGTTAAGAATGTATTTTTTGCTTTTGCAAAACGTTTCTGTAGTTTATCAATAGTTCAAATCAAGTTAGTTTTAATGGCATGCTTGATTTCTCACACAGCTTAATTCTGATGCTGTAATACTGAAAATAAATTTTTTTTATTCGAAGATTTGTCACTGGATAAAAGTTTTGTTGTAATGAACTTCCAATCGTTAAATAGAAATAATCTTTCCAGACTATAATGGGTATATTTGGCTTTCGCAAAGGACTCCTTAGAGCTCTGTAACGACCGAAAGAATATTGTGTTTCACAATCAGTGAGCACTTTTACTTGGATAGGTTGTGTGTATAGCTATGATACTAATCCGCTGCATAAATCACATGTGGATTTTTTGATGGAAATCAGAGATTTTTCCGACTCTCCAGAATTTTTTCTACATCTCCATGTGCTTAAAAAAAAAGATTTATTGAATATAATTTATCGCGTTTGAGAGGTTGACAGACTCACAATAAAATGTAGATCACTGTTCAGGAGGCCAGAAAACTTCTATCGAATCCAAGAGTGATTTAAAAACATCGTCACCTATATCGATAATGGAGATTACAACTGGGACATTGGCGAAAAATAAACGGAAGGTTGCAACAATCGCATATTTTCACCTGCGGTCATTTTACGCAACATGAACTCAGCCAAATGAAACTCCAAAAAATGGCGTGAGGCCTCTCGGTGCCGTCTGTTACGCCATTTTCACAGATCTCCACATCCTTCCGACCGTTTGAGAGTGAGTTCAAGTGTGTGGATCTACAAAATTGTGATGATGGCTAACCGTGAAGTGCTGGAAACCAGCTTTTTGTATATCTTCAGTTATGCACCCCTTCAAGCGGTCGGAATAGATCGTAGAACCTTGGGCAACGTTGTTTTTGATGGCAGCCAGCATGTTGAACGATTTACAACCGCCACCAGGAAGCACTGTTTTGTCTCACGACAGACTCCTCCAAAAATCCATTGTTGTGGGAGCACACATCCGGCATTGTTCTTCCTCTCTGTGAACAATGAGTTGTCTATGTCCACATCTTGCCGTTGCCCCCAATCTTTTTACCACGGCGTCGAATTAGCTGTTCTGCAACAACTTCACGTAAATAGTTATTCCAGTGCACGATTGCGCCTCTGCTCATGCCAAGATTTTTTTACACCACTGGAGCGACGTTAACTCTTCACTCCAACCGTGGAAGAAACACAGAGTAGTAAAAAAAGAAAGACGACTGTTACCAAACTAATTTCCGACTCTAATACTGACCTTATCACGACATTTACGCTTGCAATATCGCCAAGAAATTTTTGCATTGAAGTGAAGTTCAACTGGATGTCCTTTCTTGCATAGAGTTTGGATTGTAACACGCCGTGTATTTGTATGAGCGTGACAGCTTCTTTGTCGGTGCTTGGCGAAGCTAAATGCTCAAAGGTGAAATCGATGAGGATCAAAAGACAATTAAAGGTAGTCGACTTGTAATGACTATTAAATGTGGGGAATGCTGAGATGGCTCGTCAGCCAGGGGCCAGTATTGCGAATTTCGATCTGCATACCTGACAATGCGTGGTGGCCAGGTGCCGTCGCTGCATTACGCTCCCTAACATATTACAGCTCGTTAAGAAGTCCTTTCAAAAAGCCAAATACATCACTGGAATTAGCAGAATTCAGACTATCGAATGATTTTTGGTCTGAGGAAAGTACTCTCCCAGACTAAAGACGCGTTGAAACGTCTTAAGTGTGAAACGTACTTCTATTTTGGATGTTACAGTGAACTGAGAGGCTTCTTTCAGAACCTAAGTATATCTCTGGAATTGTCTAGATTTGAGTTATTGATTAACCAAGAAGCAACTTGGAAAAATTGGAAACACCCCTATTTCTGAAGAAGTGCGGAAAACAGCAGTATTTCAAAAGTGTGGAACCCTTTCTTCTTGTGCGAACTGTAGAGCTCAAAGAAGTTCCTTCTAAAAGACAAACACATATTCTTGATCAGAAAGGTTTTTCTTTTCTAATTCATAGAATTTTGTCATGAAAAATCTTGATCAGGCGAGAAATCTTCAGATGTGAAACAAAATATCATTTTGACTGCTTTAAAATTCATTTGGTTCGCTATTAGATAATCATATATTTGTCAGATAACAACAAAGAATACGCTTTTACCGAAGGCCTCAAGTGGCGCCGCCATGATAGAACAGTACCGCCTTTTCTTTCTCCTATAGCGCTATCAGAAAAAAGCTTTTCTAAAAACCAAACGCATTTTTAGGGTTCTTCATAACTTATCCTATCAAATAAATACTGGCACTCAAAAGAAGAAGTTTTGTACAGCATAATCAAGCGAGACAAGAAGAAAAGCACGTGGTCTTTATAACTATATTTTTATTTTGGATTTCACAGCATCATAAAAAAGTGTTTTGAAAACCGGGTTATGTGCGGCTCTAGCCAAGGATCTGAGCTTCCGAATGATTACTAAAACTCCTAAGAAAAATTACGGTTCAGCGAATGAGATCTGTTTTTTATTTGTCGTTTTTTAACAATACAAGTGCCATAATTTCTTCTGAGATATGGCTAATACCACAAATTTGATGCAGTAATCTTATTCGACTTACATTTCTTCGTTTTCATCTTCTAGCCTTTGAAATAACTCGCGGTCTCCAACCGACCTATCAGTTTAATGAGTATCCTCTCAAACAAATCTTGCAGCGTTTCACCAACCCCGGAGGGATGAAAAGCTTAGTATTCCTTGAGCGCGGCATAAAACATTTAACCGTCGCTTGATTGATCGAGTACGTCACAGAGAACTTCCAACCACTGCGCCAACCCGCTCTTAATATCAATGTCTCAGTAAGCCTTGTTCGCTTAGGAATATGGAATAGTGTGATTTTTGTGCCCATAAAAGGCATGTTGCCTGCACAGGAATTGGTGCTGAATCATTGACACTTTTACGACAATTTCATGAGCGTTAGATAACGCGAATAAGCACCTCTGAGTCGTTTTGATTGAATTGCTAAACGACAAACAGTTTTGTCAAGACGTTCTCCATTTGCTTTCATAAAATGCTGTGGTTACTTAGCGAATCATCACCTGTATCACCTGTCGTCCCGTTGATCGTCGAGTGACTCGAGCGGATACCAGCAACTCATCCATTTTTCCCTATCGCGTGCAAGAGTAGCCCAGTGGGTCCTCCTCGCTCTAGGGATTCGCTGAGCATCATATCTTTCTTCCATCGCTTTCGTGAAGAAATCGGACCAACGGGTCAGTGGTCTTCCTTTAAAGCGCTTGACGTCCCGAGGAATCCAGTCGCTAACGGCTCTCGTCCATCGGTTGTCGTTGAAGCGCATCACGTGTCCGGCCCACCTTATTTTCGATATCCTGGCGTGTAGAACGGCGTCTCTGATTTTCGATCGTTGACGTAGGTCGGAACTTCGGATCCTTTGTCTCATTTACGAAATACGGGATACTCCTAGCATCGACCTTTCGACTGCGCGTTCAATAACTCCAAGTGATCTTTCATCCTGCTTACGTAGCGACCAGGTTTCTGCTGCATACGTTAGGGCAGGGATAATTGTCGAGTCGAAAAGGTGGGCACGGAGACGGATGTTCTTTGTCCTCTTCACTACATCTTCGATGCTCTTAAACGTTCCCCAAGCCTCAGCTTGGGGAGCGAATCATAGCTGACAGATAAAGAACACCCAGCATCGTTATTCTACAAATTGAAGCAATTGATGATTCTATATAGTCTGTATGAATGTTTAAAGCCTTACCGAGGTTGTCATGTCAGAGCCATACTCGTGTTTCGGAGGTATCGCCCTCTTTATCAGTGGCTCACGCCCGCACTGAACCTTTCTTTGTAGCAGAGAGAGGAGACGTATGCGGCGGTAGCACAATGTACAATGAACTGTGTTATCACCATTTTCAGTCGATGAATTCCGGCATCGATGGATTGAAGAGGGCGATATCTACAAAACACGTGTATGGCTCCAACGTATCAACTTTATAAGGCGTTAAAAATTCTTACAGACTATTTTAAATGCTTATAGCGAGTTCAAAAAACAGTCGTTGTGGTGATTCAACTGATGATTCTCCACACTTCCTGGTTTTCAGCTTCAGAAACGGCGTGGCAATCATACTATTGTAGCCGGGCCAGTCAACTTAGGTTTGTTCAATCCCGGCAGATTCAATCAATGTTCTCTCAGATCATCGAAATAACGCTTTTGTTATTAAAGCAAACGTTCCTCTGAACATTTCTTTTTAAAATCATTCCTGTATAGTCTCGACATTACAAGCGCCTGATTTCATCTAACGATTCCATAAGATGGAATGGTGTGCAAAAACGTTTGCATCAGCCGGTATTCGAACCCAGATCTTACTCATTTCTGGAGTATGTGCTAGAACGAGCGTCGGTGGTGCAACGGTTTAGCACATATTTCGGGAAAGATTAAGATCTGAGTTTGAATCCCGGCTGACGCAGATCTTTTTGCACACCACTCCACACCATTGGGTTTATCGAAACATCATAACGGCGCAATAGATGGTCAAATAAAATGATTTCCGATTGATCTCATAAGGCAATAGTGTTTACTTCGTAAACCTTGTTCTGTTCCATGCAATTTTCGATCAACGAGCATTGATGTTCTTTAGATATGTTCAAAGAAAAGATAAAAATGCATCAATAGCGATGAGAAAGATTTGAAAACTTTAGTGAGGATTTAAAAAACAAATAGATCAATAGCTAATAAACGTCATTCTCTGCCAGTCTCCGTCAAGGTTTGATAATCATAATTAACATTATTGGATAGATCTCCAAAAATTACAACAATGTAAAATTTATTTGTCGGTCTCACTTTAAACAGATTCCGTAGACGAGAGCGTTGGCACAGAGCGTGACTGACATGTTCAAATTACAGAAGAATTTACGAGCTGTAACATCAGTGGGTAAAGTCTGTTTCTGAGAAATACCGAAAAAACACTTCACTAACGTCTGCAAGCAACACTTTCACAAGCGTTAGGACAAGAGTTCAAAAAGGAGATACCATCCTTGAGATGGCCAAAGCTAGTCTTCGAAAACTGTGGTCAGGTCTGGAATGGATTGTAAAGAAGTGAATATCAATGGGCCAGTATGACCAACATTACAATTACTTTGCTAATGGCAATATTTTCATGACGTCAAACACTACTGAAATTGTTAAAAGCTGACCAATTTTCAAAACGCGCTATGTTCACTTTTTACGGCACACAACGAAAGGCCGGCAAATCATCGTAGACGGAGATAGGTTTTCGTTGCCATTATTTCATAGCACGAATCGCTTTAATATCAATTAAGTTTTCCCGTTTCGTCGTTTTGCTCCTTTCTCAAATGACATATGCGACTTGATTAGTTTAATGGTAAAATTACCGTCTAAAAACCAAATCATTATATTTCTGACAAAGCCATCATTTTCGACTTGCATGTCAGAAAAATCTGATACCCAATAATGTAAATGGCTTTTATTTGACCTTCGTATTCATTCAATTACATAAAACCGGCAATTGTGATGTGAAACTTTTTTCTGAGTAGTGATTCTGATGCGTTGTGGCAACAAAAAGAACGTCACGTTCCACACTCAAAGCTTCTTGACGCATAAGAGGTGTATGCATATGCTCAAAGCATACGAGCGTGTATAGGAAGTTGTGAAGTACCGGATTATCGGAA